GCTTCAGCTTTCAGCTTTAAGACTAAAATCTCCAGTTCAGTTCATTTTTTGTCATTTATTTATTGTTATAGCATCTCTTGGTTGTTTTTGTTATTTTTTGACTTTGGTTTTGTTTTCTTAGAAAAAAAGATGTATGTTAGGGTTAGTTAGGGTACTCTGCGTATAACAGATGTTTGAAGCTGTTCTGGAGTTTCAGAACTGTTGTAGATCATACATAAAATATGCTTGTGTGTGTTCAGACTGTTTGTCAATGGGGAGACTCTCAGGGAAACATACAAATTGGACTCTGCTTTCTATAGAGAGTCCAATTTGTATGTCCAATTTGTGCAACTCCTGAAACTCAGGACTGTTGCGCTGTTGCACTGTGCTGTTGTGGATCTAGAGAAAACATGTGCTAACTGAGGAACTAATGAATGAGGAAGTAAGGAGTGGCAGAAAAGTATGTGCCTGTCTGAGCCTGCAAAACACTGAATTTGAAACCAGGGTTGTACCTTTATCTGTTGTCAGGAACAATGCAGTGCTCTCTGCCGATGCTCGCACGCATTAGGTCTTGGTGTGGATTTTATTGTCATTCCTTGAAAAGAGAACTGGTAGAGTTCCTTCTTTCATTTGTCAGCAGTCACAACAAAGTAACTAAAAGTGCCTATTACAAGTATTTTTGTAGAGCTGAAGTTGTCCCTGTTGATTCTGATTATTTGTGCCATAACAGTGGTATAAACAGGAAATTATTGAAACCAACTCTGTGAATTCAATGAGAGGAACTGTTACAGAAAAAAACAATAACAATGTAATGTTGACTCTATCTCACCTTTCTTTAATCCTAAATCTGCTCATCCTCACTTACTAGCTAGCTTTTTATGTTAACATCAGCTGTGGCATGATACTTAAACTGAAACAGTAACATGTATCCCAGAGATTGACAGATCCTATGTTGTGCACTCTTGTATTCCATTTTTAATGGAATATCTTTTGAGGACAACCAAACTCTATTACCAGAGTCATAGGTACAGGCCATGGTCGTAAGGTGATGTTTGCTTTGGTCTGCAGTCCTGAGTAGAGCTATTTAAGTATCAACACTATACCATAGACCAGTGTCTATGGTATAGTGTTGAAGATGATGCTGCACTTGGGAATCCCATTTACTAGTTACACTCTGATTAGTTTAGACAGTGATTGAAAAAAGGCACAAGAATATGGAATTTTACAAAAAACTGTGAAAACCCCACTCCTGTCCCTGCATCAGATGCATCTAGTTCTTCATTAAATTCACATGGGCTCTTGTTGACCTTTAAGTAAAAATATGTAACACAACACTGCAAAAGTGCCTGCGGTAATGGCGTCGGAACCGGGACCAGGACCTTGATTTTTCATGCAACGTGCATGGTGTGTATTGTGCTCTTATTGGTTTTCAGCTAATAGCTCCTTGAGAATAACATTTTAGGTGCAAAAAATATTTTATGTCAGTCCAGTTGTATTGTTAGTTTTTGTAATATAGATTCAGAAATGGGAACAAATTGTGTACTTTTGCAACATGCTGCCATTGTAGTAAAGTGCCTAAAGATACAGATTTGCTAAGCTGATTCATAGGTCAGTGTTAAGTGGCTTAGCAAACAAATGAAAAACATAATTCTGAAAGCAGTCAGGTACAATAACTGGATTGAAAGTGCAGGAAAATGCCAATATAAGGCCATGCATTCATTTCCAAGGCAATGAAAGAGCTTCACAGAGCCTAGAGAAGTATTGCTCCAAACTACTTTATAAAACTATACGACAGTCTTTCTCCTGGGTAGCAAAATATGAAGAAATAAGTGTGATTTAAGACTCTAGCACAATGTTTATTTACAACAATCTCTATATACTCTTTTAATACAGAATATCCTCAACTGTACAAGTTATCTTTTGTACGAAATGTTCTGATTGTACTCTGTGACGATAGTGGGTATTTCTGTTTGTACTTCTTCTTGGTCAAAAGCCTTTCTGACTCTGTATTACTCTGTATTGATTGACCCCTTTGCAAAGAAAAATAAAACCTCACAAAGACAACTTGTTTGTGCGCATTTCAATTTATTTTAGATTTCCTGAACAAGGTTAAGATTTTCCTTCACCTTTAATAATTTAATTTAAAATAAAAAAATATTTATAAAAAATATTTCAAAATAAATTATTAATCCATTAATAAATGCTTAATTAAACTTTCTATTAAAATCACATTTAAAAAAAAGAAATGTTCATAATTTTGTTTTAAAATACATTTTTTAAAAAAGCAACGTAAGTAAATTATTTCAAAAATCAAAGATTTATTTAAAATGGTGATTCCACTCCTCATTTTCAAATTTTTTTCCTTATTTTGCTCTTCGAATAGCAATTATATTATTATACATAACTATTACATACCTATTACTACATAACTAATATAACTATTACCTCAACTCAGGACTGCCAATTGAATTGATATGAGTTCCCATTGATATGAATTCCCATTGTTTAAACATCAGCACAAAAACTCAAGCCTTGACCTGAATCTCTTTCCAAAATTCAGCAACAGTGCCACATGTTGCCAACAGCTCCACGTTTTCTCCCTATGTACCTGTATAGTTCCATCCTGCAGCACCAAAAGAAAGCAAGCAACGTTTGCCTTGCTCTAGCAGCACCTGTACCTATTCAATGACCAGATTACATTAGATTAGATGAAACTTTATTTATCCCTCGGGTGGGTTCTTCCGGGAAATTCAGTTTCCAGTAGCACAGCACCGACAGAAGTTGCAGAATGTGAGCAGAAATATACCACATATACACATATATACACATATATAAATACAGAGTATACAAAAGAGATAAATAGAATAAATAGGAATAAGAATACAAGGGAACGGCACATTTCAAGTGAGTCTATTACACCGTTGGATATTAACAAAAACTATTGCACAGTGAAAAGGCACTACAGCTTACTTGTTCCCCCCTCCTTTGTCCCCGTTTCCCCTTCCTCTCCCCTCCAGCGAGGAGTTAGAGTTAAACAGTTTGATGGCGTGTGGGACAAAGGACTTTTTAAGTCTGCTGGTCCTTGACTTTGGGAGAAGCAACCTGTCACTGAACAGACTCCTCTGGTTGTTTATGGCCGTGTGCAGAGGATGCCCAGCATGGTCCATAATGTCCATATGCACCTTAATTTGTTTTTATATACAGTAAGTGCGTGGAATGAGTCTTCAGTTGAATGTTTTTAATAGGCAAAAAATTTTAATTAAATTTACTAATTAATTTTCTAGCTCCGTTGATTTGACACATGGGAATGTGTCAAAAAAAGGGGGGAAGTTGAGTTTTAACATCAAACATGGGTTATATGAACATTTTTATGACTTCATTTGTGTTTTGATAACTTAGGTATGGTAAAGCTTAAGCTAATAGTGACCCAGGAGGTTTCCGGACTTTTTTAGAGATCCAGTGAGAAGCATAAATCATTATTTCCATGTTTAAGCATTAATCATTGAAATGAACTGAATAGCATTTAGAAGATGAGATGCCTGTGTTCATGAAAAGCTGAGTACCACACTGGAGAGGAAACCGTGGGACGGTAGGCAAACACATGATTTTTGGGGGGCAAATGTTAGGATTAAAAATGGCTAATTTGTTTTTGATGTCTTTTGTTAAAATGAGTGGTTTTAATCATTTTCAGACACACCTTGCAAATGTGCTTATAATGAGTGGGCACTCGGTCTTTTGAAGGTCATAAGCTTCGTTCGGCGTGATGGTCCGGACTGATAAAGTGTAGGAAATGCCTTGAGTGCAGAGGGCTAAATGCAAACACGCTTACACACACATAGGATATGATTAGAATAAGTCCCTGGGACATTCTGAATATTCTAAACCAATTTTGAATCACTAGAAGGTCAGTAGATAACAACATTAGATTATTAGGGCTAGGGAGAGAGGTGTTTTGGTTTTCTGTCTCTTACAGAGAAAGGAACAGACACCAGACGAGGTCACAGAGATGCGGGGATCCTTCGCAGCAGAGACAGACACGGTGACTGCCGAGACACCAACTGGGTTCAAGTGTCATGGCGTTTGGGCTCCGATTAGTCACCTCAAAGGATGGATCCCATAAACACAGCAATAACCATGAAGGGGTTGGCGGAAATCCAGGAACACCAGACCAACAAGGTTCAAGAGGCTCTTGTTCCTTTTTCTGGAGGATACACAGGATACACAGGACCCGAGGATACACAGATCCTTGTTTGAAATCGGGGCAGAATAATCCCCTGATCTGTGCAATGACTGAAGGGTTGTCTAACCCCTGAGGTTGAAGAAAAAGAACAGAGGATCACCTGACTGGAAGACACTGGTGGCTGCAGCAATAAAATAAAGGCTAAAAGCTCCTTGGACAGAGGTTCTAGTCTGAGTACGTCTGAAGGGTATAAGGTAGCACCAAAATAAAGCTGTGGAAGAACTGGGGAGTGATGGAGGTGTCATCTGTACCGGCTACTGTTGTAATAATAGTTTTTCTTGCATCTGAACTGCGCAAACACAGAGGTCATCTCACAGATGGTTCGCCCAACAGGGGGACAAAGGGCCTCAGGAGTGAGAAGAGATGAACCCGGCCACACTGGATTACAGGGTGTAGGTGAGCTCTTTATTCTAAAGAGCTCATCAGGGGGAGTGTGGGATTATAATATTATTTTATGCCATGTTATACCCCTAATTAAAGATTGTGAATTATTATGTAGTTTTAGTTTGCATTATTCTCCTGAATTAGAAGAAGGTGATAACTATTGCATTTGTTAAATTGATTCGCATTACGTTAGACTGCTGATTTATTGTGAATGAATGATATTGTTTTATGATGCATTATACTGCTGAGTTATAAGAAATACTGTTTGCAGAAAGTCATCGCCTTGTTTGTCTGATTAGAAGAGAACAGAATATACTGGAGTTTTCTGCCCCATCTCAGCAGGAGCAGATAAACAGGGAGCCAAGGTCATAGCTTAGGCGCTGTGTGAGAGAAAGCATGTGAATGTTTAGGCTTTTATGATAAGGTGGGGGCCACTAGAGGCTATAAGAGTTTGATCAATGCTCCACCATTTTGAGATCTGATGCTGTCTGCATACAGTGTCCATCTCCCATGCGTGTGATCATTAAAGCAGTTCAGCAGGAGCAAAGAAAGAGCCATACAAATAACCATAATAATCCCACAAGAAACAAATCACTTGAATTATATTTATCTAATTAACCTACTGCTGATTTTGTTCTGATCTTTAAGAAGAGAAAGATTGAGAGGACAATGGGCATATTGGTGGAGGGGCTTACTGGGCTTTAACCTGGGTCATTTTTTCAGAAGCATGGGGTCTTTTGGAGTGTAATTTGTTTCATAGTTAGAGGACTGACTGACAACTGTATAAAACAAAAATTACACACAATATTCGAAGCCCATAGTGCATAGTTGTAAATTCCCCCTAATTTTGGTATGATCCGAGCTCAGGCACTAGGTGACTGAGCACAGCACTTACGCAAGTGAGTGAGGGGGGAGAAGCTGCTGTCTGCGAGTTTGCTGTAGGAGAAGTTTAGACAGGCAGACAGAGGAGAGCTTAAGTTGGACCAGGTATCAAAGCAAATCATTCATACTGTACAAATAATGTAAATATGACGGTGTATCACAAAAGATTGATATCCAAGTGATAACTTGACCTGTATTATGTTACTTGCTCTTCGAGTGAATCAACAGATGGTGAAATGAAAAGCCGAACAACAATGCTGTTTTAGCCTAGTCTTAGCTTACATGTGTGATTATTTCATATTTTCAGTTGTTACCCTCCACGGCTAAATAAAGCACTCTAAATCGGTTTCAGTTATGTAATGATATACAACAATGGACATGAAATTTAAATGGCATATCCATATATTTCTTTCATATATCATTCAGTTTGTGATTTTACTTCGATTAGATTTACTATTAGTTCAGTCTCACATGAACATCCATTTCAACACAATTTAATCAATTCAGTTAAATAGAAATACTTGTTAGTTACATTATACTCAATATAACTTCAAATTATACATAATAGAGTCAGAGATTCTCTGAGATCAGTGTCCTCTACATTTGTACCCTGTAATCTCAGTAAAAGTCCTATTCTTCAAATCATTTCATAGATTATATTTTCTTATTGCAAAATCAGCAAAATCGCATCTAAATTATGATTGTGTGTTTAACAGTTACAACATAGCAAGAATAACATTTTTCTTATTTAGAATCATGTGTACTGTTCATGTGATTGTATCATGTTGTCATTTTAAGCTAAAAGGCTGGATGTCGAGTCCTTTTGCACTCTTTTAGATGTAGGAAGTAAGTCTGGGGGGAATCAAACCCTTTCAGTCCCACCTTTCTTAACCCATATTCTTGTGGTTTTTGATTCTGTTTTTCTTTCTGTCGCTCCTCCTCTATTATTCCTCTCCTCTTCTCATCTCTTATTTAAGCTGTTGAAAGCAATTTGTGCAGTAGTATATATAATTCGGCCCTTCTAGTCTGTAGTATTCCCCTCCATTAAACACGTGTACATATAAGTTGTTAATCGTATGTTTCTCCAAGGTGTAGCATGGGTTCAGCTTTTTAGAACACTGCTGGCAAGTCAGGTTATACGCCGGGTTAGATTCCCTTGGTATTTCGTTTCCCATTTTTGATCTTTTCAGCCAGGACGTGTTGGTTTTCTAGACAAAAAAGGAAGAAAAAAGTAGGATGACTTAATGATCGCAGACTCCTCTTGAAGGACATTAAAAAAAATGTCCTGACCTCATAAGAGACGTGGAAGGCCCAGGCTATTTCATTTATGTGTTGCTGTGTATACTGTGTCTCTATTCAACATAGATAATCAATATATGCATGAATCCTACAGCGTTTTTATTAGTGATGCTAAACAAGCCAACAGTTCTGTTTTGTTTTGATATCGCTTTCTGTCTTTTCTGTAGATGCCAGGGCTGTATGATCCCTGCTTATATGGAAATGTTTTTTATGTTGCTGATGTTCATTTAGAGAACCCATGTTTACCAAATGAATCTTTTGAAAAATCAGTGGGGTTAAATACTATGGCTTTCCAGTGGAGACTTAAGACCTCTTCACTGTTTCTATCCTCTCAAGTGGACTCAGCATTGAAGCTCTAATATTTGTAGTTGTACTTTTCTGTTAAAATACTTACAGTCAGACTAAAATGATTAATCCTCCGCTCCAGCCAGTTGAACTTGGAAGGCCGAACTGTGCCTAAGCAAAGAAAAATGTCCTGTCAGATATGACAATGCTACAGCTTTCAAATACCAGAAGCAATTATCAAGTCACTGGGCAAAAGCACAGTGCAATGCAAATATAACACCATTCAGTCTGTGAGCCTTAAGACCTATGGAATATATAGGAGAAATCAGTATGTTATCAAGTATTAGTGAAGGGACAAAAAATTGGCAGTCACTGAAACAATATGGGAAAAAGAAAACAAACATGTTAGATTTACAAAAAACAATTAAACAACAAAAACAAAACAAGAATTTCTTAAATCCTCTATGAATATTCTTTGTGCTATAACTTACACAGAATTTTCTAGAAGACCTTCTACTGAGTAAAATCTTTAAAGATGTTAAATTACCTTCAAATAAAGATTTTTGAAGGTGGAAAAACAGACACTCCAGCGATGGAAGTGAAACTAGAGAGTTTATCCCAGGGTTTATATCTGTTCTTTCTCAGGAGTGATTTGAATAATATGTCAGATATGAGGAACTACGTTTGCTTCCTGTTACTGTGAATAATTCCACAACATTCCTTGGAAGTTGTTTCTGTGAACATTGTGTTATGGTTGATATTTATGTTTCCTAAGTCTTTCAAAAATCAAATATTGTAATGGTTTGCGGAGTGAGTGGATCCCAGGAGCAGACTCAGGCGAGGAGACCACAACTAACTTGAACAAAAAGGGAGCCTTTTATTTCGGCTGATAATCAGGTCAACAAAACAAGGCAGTAAGCACAGAAGCAAAACTAAACTGGAACCTAAACTGGGGAACACTGAAAACTCAGAAAACTGAGACTTAACTATGAAAACTAGGAAGACAATGACAAGGGGACTGTGAGAACTATGAACAGGACTTTGTGAAGGAACATAAAGGAACTATGAACTTATACATGAACAAGCAACATAAACATGACCTGCACAGAGTCCTAAAACCTGGCATGACATGAGGGGTGGAACACAGGACTTAAATACACACATGAGGTTATCAGGGGAAATGGAGAAACCTGGGGAACAGCTGGCACAAATGAACCATAATGACACCACAGGGGAAGCTGGTGTCTCCTGTCTGCAGGAGACATGACAGATAAGACTCACTAACCTCTAAGGGAGAATTAACACAGGGATGAGACACAAGGGGTGTGATGGAGTTGAAAAACAGGAGTCCCAGGAATTATTAGAAAAATATAGTTTCCATTTATTTAACCCCCAAAAATTATATTTACAAGAGTAATAAATGTTGAGCTCATAAAACAGGTCAAAGAAACAAAACTGAACTCAGGCAAAGACTGCAAACTTAACAAACCAAATGACTGCCCAAACATACATAATTGACCTAAACATGAAATGACATACAAGTGTGGTGTGTGTGTGTGTGTGTGTGTGTGTGTGTGGGTGTGTGTGTGTGTGTGTGTGTGTGTGTGTGTGTGTGTGTGTGTGTGTATTACAAAAAAAAAAAACACCCAGCACGCCCCTGCGGGCGGTTTATCCTTCAAGCTCGGGTCCTCTACCAGAGGCCTGGGAGCTTGAGGGTCCTGCGCAGTATCTTAGCTGTTCCCAGGACTGCGCTCTTCTGGACAGAGATCTCCGATGTTGTTCCCGGGATCTGCTGGAGCCACTCGCCTAGCTTGGGAGTCACCGCACCTAGTGCTCCGATTACCACGGGGACCACCGTTACCTTCACCCTCCACATCCTCTCGAGCTCTTCTCTGAGCCCTTGGTATTTCTCCAGCTTCTCGTGTTCCTTCTTCCTGATATTGCTGTCATTCGGAACCGCTACATCGATCACTACGGCCGTCTTCTTCTGTTTGTCTACCACCACTATGTCCGGTTGGTTAGCCACCACCATTTTGTCCGTCTGTATCTGGAAGTCCCACAGGATCTTAGCTCGGTCATTCTCCACCACCCTTGGGGGCATCTCCCATTTTGACCTCGGGACTTCCAGGTTATACTCGGCACAGATGTTCCTGTACACTATGCCGGCCACTTGGTTATGGCGTTCCATGTATGCCTTGCCTGCTAGCATCTTGCACCCTGCTGTTATGTGCTGGATTGTCTCTGGGGCATCTTTACACAGCCTGCACCTGGGGTCTTGCCTGGTGTGATAGACCCCAGCCTCTATGGATCTTGTACTCAGAGCTTGTTCTTGTGCTGCCATGATTAGTGCCTCTGTGCTGTCTTTCAGTCCAGCTTTGTCCAGCCACTGGTAGGATTTCTGGATATCAGCCACCTCCTCTATCTGCCGGTGGTACATACCGTGCAGGGGCCTGTCCTTCCATGATGGTTCCTCGTCTCCCTCCTCTTTCTTGGGTTTCTGCTGCCTGAGGTATTCACTGAGCACTCGGTCAGTTGGGGCCATCTTCCCAATGTATTCTTGGATGTTCCTTGTCTCATCCTGGACTGTGGTGCTGACACTCACCAGTCCCCGGCCCCCTTCCTTCCGCTTAGCGTACAGCCTCAGGGTGCTGGACTTGGGGTGAAACCCTCCATGCATGGTAAGGAGCTTTCTTGTCTTTATGTCAGTGGCTTCTATCTCCTCCTTTGGCCAGCCTATTACCCCAGCAGGGTACCTGATCACGGGCAGGGCGTACGTGTTGATGGCCCGGATCTTGTTCTTACCATTCAGCTGACTCCTCAGGACTTGCCTGACCCTCTGCAGGTACTTGGTGGTTGCAGCTTTCTAGCGGCCTCTTCATGGTTCCCATTTGCCTGCGGGATCCCCAGGTACTTGTAACTGTCCTCTATGTCTGCAATGTTGCCTTCTGGTAGTTCAATCCCCTCAGTTCTGACTACCTTCCCTCTCTTTGTTACCATCCGACTACACTTCTCCAGTCCGAACGACATTCCAATGTCATTGCTGTATAGCCTGGTAGTGTGAATCGATGTCTCGTTCACTCTTGGCATACAGCTTGATGTCATCCATGTACAGGAGGTGGCTGACAACTGCTCCGTTCCGTAGTCGGTATCCGTAGCCAGTCTTGTTAATGATCTCACTGAGGGGGTTCAGGCCTATGCAGAACAGCAGTGGGGACAGAGCATCTCCTTGGTAGATCCCGCACTTGATGGTGACTTGTGCTATGGGCTTGAGGTTGGCCTCCAGTGTTGTCCGCCACATCCCCATTGAGTTCCTGATGAAGGCTCTCAGGGTCCTGTTGATCTTATATAGTTCTAGGCATTCCAGGATCCAGCTGTGGGGCATTGAGTCATAGGCCTTCTTGTAATCAATCCAGGCCGTGCACAGGTTGGTCAGTCTGGTCTTGCAGTCTCGGCTGACTGTTCTGTCTACCAGTAGCTGGTGTTTTGCGCCTCTGGTATTCTTGCCAATTCCTTTCTGTGTCCCACTCATGTATTGACCCATGTGCCTGTTCATCTTAGCCGATATGATGCCTGACAGGAGCTTCCATGTAGTACTGAGGCAGGTTATTGGTCGGTAGTTGGAGGGGACCGGTCCCTTCTTGGGGTCCTTGGGGATCAGGACCGTCCGACCTTCGGTTAGCCATTCCGGGTGTCTCTCGTTAACTAGCAGCTGGTTCATTTGTGCTGCCAGACGCTCGTGGAGTGCAGTCAGCTTCTTTAGCCAGTAGGCGTGAACCATGTCGGGCCTGGTGCTGTCCAACTCTTCATACTGGAGACCCTTTCTTGGATATCTGCCACTGTGATGGTTACTGGACCCTGTTCAGGGAGGTCGCTGTGGTCTGCCCTCAGATCCACTAGCCACTGAGCATTGCCGTTATGGGTTGCGTCCTTCTCCCATATTGCTCCGTCTCCAGCCTTGGTGGTGCTGTTCTCTTATTATTGTTCCCTTGCCACTGAGAGTACACCTTTGCTGGTTCTGTGGAGAACAGCTGGTTTATTCTCCTGCCTTCTATCTCTCTGGTGTACCTCCTCAAGCGGCTGGCCAAGGCTGTGAGTCTTTGCTTGGCAGTTTCCAAGGCCTCAGGTATGGACAGCTTGCTGTATTTCTTATGCACCTTCTTTGTCGCACCTTTCTGCAACTCCGTTAGTTGGCTAACCTCCCTCCGTGCTACTTTGATCTTGCCCTCTAGCCTCCTTCTCCATGGAGGGTACTGCCCCTTGTGGCTGTTCAACCTTTTGTCCAGCAACTCCCAGTGATGATGGCAGGTAAGAAATAAAAAGACAAAGGTTAGTCAGAAAGCAAAGAAATGAAGTAGTATGAATACATAAGTAAACTAAATGTGCGCGCTTACAAATAGAACAAATGTATCCAAACCAATCAATAAAGTTATTGGCAACTAAAATGTATTACTATGTTCAAAAAGAATGAAAATACAAAAGTTACCGACTTTAGAGTGTGGCCACGGGTTTGGCCATCACAATGGGAAACTCGATAAACCATAGAAATATAACTGCAAAGTAGGTATGACAGAATGTAACTAGAAAAGCTGAAAAGAAACTAGAATACAGATGAATAACAAAATATCATGAAACTTACAAACACTGGGTCACATGACTCAGGACCATGACAAATATTGAGTGTTCCAGGTCAAGTTTAGGTCCCATTTTTACTGAAATTAAACTAACCAGTTTATATTACTCCTTTTTCACACAATAGACACACCACTACTATACTGTGGTGGGGTTGTGGTTCTATCATATGAAATCATGGTAGCGAAGATGAAGAAATTGCAAGTGAAATAAAACAGCTTAACTTAGTAGGTAGTTAAGCTGTTTTATTTCAGATGTTTTCTAGTTGGCTATCTTTGGAGTCCAATTGTTTGAAGTAATCTTCATGTTATACTAGGCTGGTATTGGAAACCTTAGTCTGTATACTCCTTGCAGCCAAATATTAAGTATAAAAAGTGAAACTACATTTAAATGTGTTCTTTCTCAGGAGTGATTTGAATAATATGTCAGATATGAGGAACTATGTTTGCTTCCTGTTACTGTGAATAATTCCACAATATTCCTTGGAAGTTGTTTCTGTGAACATTGTGTTATGGTTGATATTTATGTTTCCTAAGTCTTTCAAAAACCAAATATTGTAATGGTTTGCGGGGGCAGACTGTGTGTGGGTGTGTGGATCCCAGGAGCAGACTCAGGCGAGGAGACCACAGCTGTGTCCGAATTCAGGAAGGATGTGAGACGTGGAGGCAATGACTGTCACAGCGATCCGACGAAGGCTGTCCGAATTCAAAGAGTACTCCAAATATGGCGACAAATGCGTCCTACTTTTCCCCGAATTTGAAGGATGGGTCCGATGTATCCTTCGTGTCCCACTATATCCCAGGAGTCATTGCAGGCCATCTGTTGCATAAATTCCAAACCAGAAGAAGAATTTTTTTAGCAGAACAATGGCGGACCAATTGGGCGTGACAGCGGGAGAGGAATTCACATTCAAATGTAAGTATTTGAAAATCTGGTGGTACCAAAGTTGAACGTGTTGGTCGTGTTGTTAGGCTTTGGGCATATGCCT